CAGGATAGAAACCAGCAATCTCCTCCTCAGATTTGTGAAGTGCCTTCAGGCCAAAGATCCTACCCATATCCAGGTCCATAATCCTAAAAATACTCCCATACCCTGACCCACACTAGGGAAGAGCCCCATGCCATTCTCCAGGCTCACTGCCACATTCCAGCTATACTGATGAGGCTAATAAAAGCCTTTTGTAACTGCCTGGGGTGCTGAGCTGGTCAGCCTTCATTCTCCTTGTCGCCTCTATCAAAGTCTTTCCCTGTTCTTGGACTGGCCTCCTCTACTTTCTTTGGCCCCTCACCCTTCTATGCTAAGACCTCTCCGTGATCTCTTTATCCCATTGGAATTCTTACCTACAAGTATTATCTTTCTCTAGAAAAAGTCAACATAAAGCAAGTTAGATATGTTGAGTTTAAATATTTACCAAAACAGGAGTGGCGGCTCACGCCTGTTACCCTAACACGCAGGGAGGCCGAGGTGGGTGGACTACTTGAGACCAGCTTCACCAAGAGCAAGACTGTGTTTCCATTAAAAATAGAAAAATTAGCCAGGTGTCCTGGCAGGGGCCTATAATCCCAGCAACTCTGAAGGCTAATACAGGAGGAATGCTTGAGCTCAGGAGTTTGAGGTTTCTGTGAGCTATGATGCCAGGGCACCCTACATAGGATGACAGAATGTGACTTTGTGTCATATATATTTACAATGTCAAATGGGCCACTGTAGTACCACAGAGGCCAACCATAAATGTTTGATTTTTTTTTTTTTTTTGAGACAGAGTCTATGTCACCCTCGGTAAAATGCTGTGGTATCACAGCTCACAGCAACCTCAAACTCTTGGGCTTAAGCAATTCACTTGCCTCAGGCTCCCAAGTAGCTGGGACTACAGGCGCCCACCACTAGGTCTGGCTATTTTTTGGTTGTAGTTGTCATTGTTGCTCCGCAGGCCCAGGCCGGGTTGGAACCCGCCAGCCTCAGTGCATGTGGCTGGCACCATAACCACTATGCTACAGGCGCCAAGCCAAACATTTGATTCTTTTATTTTTTTTCTTTGAGACAAGATCTCACTCTGTCACCCTGAGTACAGTGGCATGGCGTCATAGCTCACAGCAACCTCAAATATCTGGGTGATAGGGTCAAACCCCACCCAAATAGGGTGGACTCACCTAAAAGAATCAACATCTACCCTCTCCCACTGGTTGCCCCACCTAAGAAAGGTGAATGGGTCAACCCCCTACTTTACCCCACCAGGTGTCCCACCTGGGAAAGGTAAATGGGCCAATCCCCACCCTTATAACAGATGTCCAACCCAGGAAAGAGACTGTCCCAACCCCCACCTTCCTGACCTTTAAAAACTCCTGATCGTCATTACCCAAGTGTGGATTTCTTCCCGGATAGAAATCTTACTCCACTTGCACCCTGATGGAATAAAGCCATTTTAATTGCACAAACTGGGCCTCTATTTTCCTGTCATCTTGTGCCTCAGAATAATCTTTCATCTTTGGCTCCGTAACCTTTCACTGGGCTCGAGAAATCCTCCTGCCTCAGCCTCCCAAGTAGCTGAAACTACAGCCACTCACCACATCAGCTAGTTTTTCTATTTTTAGTAGATATGGGGTCTTACACCTTTTGTTCAGGCCGGTCTTGACCTCCTGAGCTCAGGCAATCCTCCCACCTCACCCTCCTAGAGGGCTGGCTAAATGTTTGATTCTGAAATATTAATGCTTTCTTAGGTGAGGAAGGAGTTGAACATGACTCCTGACCCTCCCAGAGCCAGGGATGTTCGCCAGTGATAGGGAAGCCCCAGCATCTCATGGAGCTGCCTTCAAGGAAGGTGATCCTTCCTGAGGAAGAAAAACAATGGAATACACGCTACAAGCCCTCTCCCTCACCTAGTTCTGGTCCTTTCTGAAATGAGAAGAGATGGCCAAAGGGGTCTGAAGTAACAACCATGACCTCATTTGGCATTAGCCAGCATATGCATTCCGTCCAGAGGCTATGCTGCCCTGGGGGCAGTGGTGAGAAGAAGGTAGTTAATCAAAAGGAGAGGACAGGGGGGTACCCATGGCTCAAGGAGTAGGGCACCAGGCCCATATACTGGAGGTGGTGGGTTCAAACCCAGCCCTGGCCAAAAACTGCAAAAAAAAAGGAGTGGACACTTCAAAGTTTATGAAATAGTCAGGAGAACTTTGACTCATTCATGACTGCATTTATTCTTTGGCAGTGAAAAAAAAACCCATGCTGTATAAGTAATCCTTTTTAATCAAAAACTTTTAAATCTAACACATTAAAATGATCTGTGTTTTCTATAATGTTATTACTCTAGACCTACAAAAACATCTCATGATAAATTGCAATGCAAATTTAAGGTATTTTTATTGTTAAATAAACTGGCAAAACTTTTTGGTTAACACTTAATTGGAACCAGGGAGTACAGTGGGGAAGGAGTGTGAAGTTTGGCACCAGACAGGCTGGGATTCAAATCCCATACCTGCAATTTTCTGCACCCAGAGCTCCTGCTCAATTACTTTCTGTATCATCTGCTTTCCCATCTGTAGATGTATTCGGATTCTACTCAAGACTTCAAGACCAGCCTGAGCAAGAGGGAGACCTCATCTCTACTAAAAATAGAAAAACTAGCCAGGCATTATGGTTGACACCTATAGCCCCACACTATATCCAATAATCCCAGGATTATTTGATACACAAGAGGTTAGTGCACTTTTCTTTCAATGTTTTTAGAATTATTATTTTTTGAGACAGTATCACTGTGTTGCCCTGGGTAGAGTGCTATGGCATCATTATAGCTCATAGCAACCTCAAACTCCTGGGCTCAAGCAATCCTTCTGCCTCAGTCTCCCTAGTAGCTGGGACTATAGGTGCCCACCACAATACCTGGCTAGTTTTTCTGTTTTTGGTAGAGATGGAGGTCTCCCTCTTTCTCAAGCTAGTCTTAAATTCTTGAGCTCAAGTGATCCACCAGTCTTGGTCTCCCAGAGTGCTAGGATTACTGGTGTGAACCACAGGGCCCTGCCTTTAGAATTATCTTAAAATGGTGAGTCTTGGCTTGGCGCCTGTGGCTCAAATGGCTAAGGTGCCAGCCACATACACCCAAGGCGGCGGGTTTGAATCCAGCCCTGGCCGCCAAGCAACAATGACGGCTGCAACCAAAAAGTAGTCGGGCGTTGTGGTGGCTGCCTGTGGTCCCAGCTACTTGGGAGGCTGAGACAGGAGACTCGCTTGAGCCTAGGAGTTGGAGGTTGTTGTGAGCTGTGATGCCACTGCACTCTGCCCAGGGGGATAGCTTGAGGCTCTGTCTCAAAAAAAAAAAAAAAATAGTGGGTCTTCTAGAGTTAATAATTTACTTTAAAACTAAGATAGGGTTTTAGAGACTTCACAACCTGAGAACTGTGCCCCCAATGCAGAGATTGCAACAATTGCCTTTCAAAATAAATAAACTCAAGAGGTATGAAGCTCAGAGGTGACAGTCAGAGGTGATAGAATAAGGGGTGGCGTCCTCACTGATGTTGGCTGCACAAGAGCTTAGAGGATAAAAGGAAGCTGCCTGGGGCAAGGAGGGACACACAGGAATGAATGTGGTCTGGATTTAGGGTTGGAAGAGGTAATTGGCAGGGAGTATTGTTTGAGATAGGAGAAAGGGTGTGTTCAAGATCCCCTCCGGCAGGATGAGATTTTGAAAGATCAGATAGCCAAGCAGAATTCTCCTTACTTTGTCAGCAGTGAAGAGAAAAAAAAGAAAGAATCACTGGTTTTAATTAGCCACAGGAATTGATTGATTGACACACTAAAGATCTTTCAGGGGACAGAACTATAAAAGGTAGGAAGCTGTGGAGATTTCCTCTTCACAGAGGCCAAATCTGAATTATCTGAGATTGTCCCTGGACCTCCAGACAAGGACAAACGCCCCAGTCGGTCACCTATCCCTATTTATAATTTTCCTGCCTACCACACAAAGGGACGAGCAGTTGCTTCAGCGTTCTGAAAACTGACCATGAAGTAAGGTATAATTCTCTAATAAAGATGTTTAAGAGCTTAAGATAAAAGAGTGAGGCTCAGGAGAAAACAGAATACTATTCTAGAATATCATCTTGAGGGCTTTTTTCCTGTGGAATTGTCAATACATGGGTGAGAATCATTTTAAAAAAAATACTTAAGGCCAGGCTTGGTGGCTCACATCCATAATCCCAGCACTCTGGGAAGGGGAGTGGGGACAGTTGCTTGAGCTTAGGAGTTGGAGACCAGCCCGAGCAAGAGCGAGATGCAATCTTTACTGAAAATAGAAAAACTAACCTGGCTTGTTGTTAGCTACTGAGAGGCTGAAGCAGGTGGATCAACAGAGACTCGGTCTCTAAATAAATAAATAAGGGGCTAGATGTGCTGGAGGCACAAAGAACAGAGAACAATTTTTTTTTTTTTTTTTTTTTTAAGACAAAAGTCTCACTTTGTTGCCTGGGTAGAGTGGGGTGAGTCATTACAGCTCACAGCAACATCAAATTCTTGGGCTGGAGCCAGCCTCCTGCCTTGGCCTCCTGAGTTGCCAGGACTACAGGCACTGCCACCCCGCCAGGCTAGTTTTTAGAGACCGGTTCTCGATTTTTCTCAGGCTGGGTCTCAAACTCCTGAGCTCAAGCAATCCACCCGCCTTGGCCTCCCAGCAAGCTGAGGTTATAGGTGTGAGCCACCACATCAGGCACAAAGAACAAAATAACCACTCACACCCCACAGACTGAAACTCCAAACTGCTGAATCCAGGCTGCTCTACAGACTCCGCCCTAATTCACTGCTTCTGACTTCCTGGGGGTGGGACCAAGAAATCGGAGTTAGAAATACAAACTCAGATGATTCCAAAGCTCCCGCAGGGTTTGATAACCACTGTCCTGGATTAATTGTAGTAATATGATTTGAACTTCCTGGATGCCGACCTGAGGGTGGCGGCAGGGGCTGAGGGCACAATCGCTGCGGATAAAATGCTCTGACTCTGCGTGATGGCAACTTTTCCCCCTGAAGGAAACTCCCGGGATTACTGCAAAGAAAGTAAGTACGCTTGCCACTCTGAATCCTGGTTTTCTGTCTTAATCCTGGTTCTCTTTAAATTTCTAAACTTGATCTTGGGATCTGTAGATCTTAGCATATATGGAAACTTAAAGATAGGGTGGATAAAAGAGGAAGTGAGGAAACCAGAGGCAAAGAAAAAACATTAGGAAAAAAACGAGGGTACAGATCGAAAGTGAGCACATACTGGGGGGGGGGGGTTGTGCGTCAATGGTCCTCTCTTGGTGTCTATAAAAATATTTAACCACCTCTGCCCTATCTTCTGATTTCACCTTAAGTTTGAATTTTTGCTAGTTCGACATAAAATATCCCCTCCCCCCCCGCCTCCCCACCCCCACACACTCACTGTCTTGTTCTGTAGCCCCAGGTAGAGTGTGGTGGTGTCAGAGCTCACAGCAACCACAAATTTCCGGGCTTAAGCGATCTCCTGCCCCAGCCTCCCTAGCAGCTGGGACTACAGGCGCCCGCCAAAACACCTGGCTATTTTCTTTTTGTTCAGCAGGCTCCGGCCAGGTTCTAACCCACCAGCCCTGGAGCCTGGAGCCAGCGCCCCACCCACTGAGCTACCGGCACCCAGCCTCAAGCAATTCTCTTGCCTCGGCCTCCAGAGTCGCTGGCACTACAGGCGCCCACCACAATGCCCGTCTATTTTTAGAGACGGGGGACTCATTTTTGCTCAGGCTGGTCTCCAACCTGTGAGCTCAGGCAATCTACCCGCCTCGGCTTCCCAGAGTGCTAATAGTTTTTCTATTTTTAGTAGAGAAGACTGGGTCTTGCTTTTGTGGGCTGGTCTTGAACTCCCGCCAGCAAACGATGGTCCAGCCTCATCCTCTCAGCATGCTGGGATTACAGGCGTGAGCCACCGCCCCTAGCAGAGTATCTTAGAAGTTTTTTTATGCATCTACTATGTCTGATGTAGACATAAGGGGTCAAAAAAACTTAAGTTTCTTATGAATGTAGAGTGACTCACAGGTAAATTTGTTAAAGTGTGGTCGGAGGTGGGTGCCTGTTGTCCCAGCTACTGGGTGTGGGTGTGGGCTGAGGCTGGAGGATTGCTGGAGTCCAGTAGTTCTGGGCTGTATTGTGCTATGCTGATGGGGTGTCTGCACTAAATTTAGCATCAATATGGTGACCTGCTGGAAGCAGGGGCCATCAGGTTGCCTAAGGAGGGGTAGATGGTCCCAGGCTGGACAGAGCAGGTCGAAACTCCTGTGCTGGTTAATAGTGTGATCTTGCCTGTGCATAGCCACTGCACTCCAGCCTGCACAGCATAGGGAGACCCCGTCTCTTTAAGAAAGAAAGAAAAGAAATATCAAATCAATTAGCTACTGAGAAAATAGAACAAGGCTCTGAGTAAAGGGAAGGTATTTCAAATGAGTAGTGGAGATCTTTGCCAGTTTGGGGTATGCTAATTTGAAGTGCTTATTGCAAAAGTGCTGAGAGGTCTGTGTTGGGCAAGGACATTTAAATTGGAGAGTGACACTTAAATCTTTGGAGATAAATGAAGTTATCTAGGGAAAGACTATAGGACAGGAATATGCAGCCAGAATTGAACCCTGGAGCACCCTAAGATTTAGAGGTTCAAAAGAACACACAAGCAAAAATGGTGGCTGTAAGAGGGTCTGGATGGGCTACATACCTTGACCACTGCTGGGATCTGATGGAAAATTTGAATTGGTGAATTTCTTTCTTTCTTTCTTTCTTT